TCTTCTCTATCAGTATATGTGTAGTCCCCCACCGGTTCCCGGTGGACTATAGGTTTGCCGTCTGTCATTCCGTCTAAAAAGTTTGTCCAGGACATATCTTCTATACTAGTTCACTAGGAGTAACCACATTTGGTGTACAAGAACATCTTTGGATGACAGATTACAAGAAGGTCACTATGACCTCACTGTGACCTATGCTTTGACTGTTGACCCTTACTTTTGAAAAAGTTTGTCCGGTGCATATATTCTATACTATTTCACCTGGAGTAACCAGATTTGGTGTACAAAGACATCTTAGGATTGCGGAGTACAATAAGTAGGTCACTATGACCTCACTGTGATCTATGCTTCCTGACATAAGTGTACTGTTTGTTAAATATAGATAGCATTACAAGTACGGGACTATGGAATGCCTTGCAATACTTTGCCTTCTTATTTATGAGAACACACTATCGTTGTAAATATATTCTTCATTCACACTTGGAATGACAGTCTAAAATTGTTCTTTCGGGAGATCTACTGGATGTCCAGGAACAATTCAAAGAATGAAGCTAAACCCGTTGTTTTCTAGTGAAGTATCGGTCAGTCACGCTATATGCAGGGCGATCGAGGAATAGGGGGTAGCTAAATAGATAGTCCATTACAATAACCGCGGAATTTTCTTTAAATGTCTACCGGTTTCGCCCGAATAGTTGGCATTTCAGGACAGCATTTTGGCTTAAAATCTCGGTATCTAGCTTTTGTTGATTTCAATACGTCATACAAGGGACTTCACGTGATCAATTAATGAACGATGATTCCGTTTCACCTTCCCTATACTATTCATTGAGACTGTTTTCTATCTATGTATTGTTATTTTGAGCAAACATGGAAATTAATTCAACATATCTATTTCTAATACAAAGCACATACATACATATTTACAAATTTATTTCTTGGTATGCTAGTGACAGGGTAAGAGTTCATGAATACTTCACGTAAGAGGTTAATGAACTATCTGTGAATGTCATCATATGACGAAATGTACATCAATGATTTTGTTATTCCCTAATACATTGGTGCATGTAACTACAAGTTCGTGATTGACTAGAAACTATCCGCGTTACAAATTGTATTAGTTCATTGACTGTTCAAGGTGTTGTGTCTAATAGCTTAAAGGGGCATACCGTTAAAACAATATTTATTTTATTAAATGCTCATGTTGTCTGCAGTGCCAGTTATGTTTCCTTTCTATCCCCAAATTAATTGTCCGTTCCAAATACCTTACGGTTTTAAAACGATGCAGAAAACACAGGTGTTCTGACCAAGATGCCAAGTTTGCAAAGGGGCCCATAGAGAGGGGTAAAATCGTTTTTTATTAAAAGTGTAGAATAGATATTAGATATGGAACATGTTAGATAATTGATTTGTATCATGTTTTCACAGATGTAAGGACGTACGTGTAAATGAACTTGTTTTTACGTTGAGATGACTTATCTATTGCAATAATTCGTTTTCTTGTATTGGAACTTTGCCTTTTTTCAACTGCATGCATTGCACAGATATATTTTGTATTTTTTTGTATTTTGCTGAGCCGTCGGATATATATCATAGGTCATGCAATTTTTTGTTTTAGTAACAGATTCCGTATAAGTTCAATCCCAATAATACATATTGTCTAGTCCCTAATTTCTGGAATTTGTATTTCAACGGTATAAATTTATTCCTACTGTCCTAAAAAGAAGCTGAAATGCTCAGTCGCAACCGCCAAGTTTACAACGCAAATAAAAGACTTTTTCCCCGTTTTTAATACGTATTATCATGCTTTTTGAAGTTGAAAAATACTAATTCATAAACAAATATTTTGCAGGATCATGTATCCGAAGTCAAAATTATGATTTAACATATACTGTTGACACAATTATAAGATTTTAAAGACAAATAGTTTTGTTGTGTGATCCGATTTAGGTTCTCCCTTCTCTGTTACTATCGTCCTGGACCGTCATTTTGATATTCTTACATTTTGCATGTGAATACATTTTTTTACTTCAGCAATATGATAAAATCATACCATTTTACTGGACCCGGGTATATTATAAATCATTGCTTTTCTGTTATAAGCCGTGGCCGTACTGTATCACATCTTCACAAATTCGAACTAGCCAGTCACTCTTCTCTGCCTTTCGCATAAACTACTGTTTATAGAAATGAAAAGTACATTCTATCCGATACATGCCCATTAACATAACTAATCAAGCTCATCAGTGTTCCAATTTAGACAAACATACTAGCTATGTTAATGCTTTTAAATACGTATTCATATCACAAACAGTAATTTCGGTCGATTCCACTTCAGCTTTATTTGAATTCGTATCGGCCATTCGAAAGAATACACGAGCCGTACTAACTGTTAGGGCAGTTATGTTCTCCTGTGAACACCACCCACCTGCAATAATGCTTCCGTAACCCTAGCGCTATCTTTTGACCATTTGGCGACTCTTTGTTTCGTAGCTGAGGCCGTAAGAGTTTTCACTCGCTGACACTTCCAAGTGTGATGCAATAAAACTACCGTCCGAAACGTTGGTCAGACACCTACATTGTATTGTAAATATACATTTGATTAAATATATTTAACTTAATCCGACCGTCATTTTCCAGTAGGAGATACACTTGATATATATATATATATACTTTATCTGGGGGAAAAGAAACTAAAACAAATTACTTTCCCGTGATGTCCCTTTCAGTTCTCTTTAATCAAAATGTTAAAAAGTGTACATATACATACTTCATTCAATTTTTTAACTTTAAACATTAATGCGACTTTCATCTTAGACATGGTGTCTGACCAATATGATTGACCCCGAACCATTAACTGTTCTATGATGGGACTGGCCTATTAATGCCACATTTGTCATAATTCATCTATAAATTCCTCCATGTCACATTTTAAAGACCAAGGACAGGCACTATGTCTACGGGGAATGTCGCATTCATTTTTAAAGATAGAATTGAATAAAGTATGTACATGTACATTATAAAACAGACCTAAGACCAATATGGCAAACCTGGCTAAGCTGGACAAATATGTAGGTAGCTGATGTGGGACACTTAAATTTAATATGTTTTCTAGAAAATAGCAGACGTAATTTAATCAAATTTAATCTTTTTTGACAAATTTCCTTCGGTTATGTTTTTCCTACCATGGACCTCAAGCTCGGCGTCTTCTCGATCATCGCCGCGCGGTATTTAACTCACTTCTAAGTTGTTCTTACCATGTTGCAAATGCCACTTAGAATGATAAGCATGGACATAATGCGAATGTCAATGGGAGCGTTTGGATTACGGTTTTTTTCCGAAATGACTTTGTTTGTTCGCCTTTGGCCAAGTTAGCCTACATTGGTCATATTTGTCAAATATCTTAGCTCAGTTTTGGTAGTGATATATGTTGGACGGTTTTCTCGTATTATTGACAATGGGCTATTTGTTTGTTGATAATATATGGTCTAGATAAATATAATAATTCGAGGTTCTTATATACCGCTTTATCACAATCTAGTTCGTAGGTCGTCTTACAGCGAATCACAAATTATTTTCCGTGGTTATAGGGCCTTTGCAACCAGGCAATATCTCTCTCAACTCCCTGGGGAACATACAGCCGGTGCTGCCTTTTCGGCGCTCACAGCTAGCATTCATCAATTCTAGTACTGCCCAACCACGTACTCAGCTGAGTAGACTGGAACAAGCGGAGTTAAGTATCTTGTTCAACGATACAACACAGTGCAGTGACGTGACGTGGCTCGAGCCCGCAACCCTTCGGTCACGAGTCCGGCGTCATACCACTAGACTTCCGTGTCCCGGTCTATTCAATATTTGTATATATAATATATCTAGATGACACAAGTTGTTTTAGCTTTGGCATCGGTAAGATCTCATAATCACGTGACGGTCGGGGATCTGTGATAATGACTCGGTGGTACTATTTAAAAAAAACCGGTAAATAATCTCTTCATGACGCTACTGCAATTGTAACATCACAATGTTAACAGCCAAATACAACATTTGTTATCTTGGCGATTCCCTTGCGTTCCATTTTGTTAAATGATAAACGGCATAATTTCATATCTAATGTTAGACTTTGTTTCGGTTAATATCTGTTTCTCAAGGTCTATATAATCAAGTACTTACCTCAACAAAAGCCCATTATTAAAAAATATTTTAGATGAAAAATTGTATATGATAAATGGTTGGTTTCACTAGACTGTACAAACATAAGATACAAATGGTTTTTACATAAAATACATCTCAGTGTCTGTATTTTGAGAATAACTATCAACGAAGCGTCATTCTTTTGAAAAAGGAAATTGAAGCTTGAAATAGCATTCTTATAAATATATCCAAGACCATGTATAAACTGTATATTCTAAAGCTTTTACGTGATCCCTATCTAACCGGAAAGAAGTCGCAGTAATATTTAATAAATCAATCTTAAGTTGAGCAGGCGTTCTGTTATTATTACTAGGTCAGTAATCGGACTTCAATCTTGACACTGACAAGCTCGAAACGTTCATTAGTAATAAAGTAAAGTAGGAACAATACAATAGAATTTATACACTAGGACATATTTACTACCTAACAAACTAATTACATTATAGTTATCGCAATTGATTAAGATTATCTTAAATGCAAATATTTGAAGGCTTCCTAAAGTTACATAAGAACAGAGGCGGTTTTGGTTGGATAACGAAATAAACGTTAGATTAGGGAGCTTGTTTCAGGCGATCCGAAATATAACAAAAATTCGAATCTTCAATACATTTCAAAACAACAGAGCGGCTTTGTTATTCGTATGGTTTAAAGTGACGAGCAATTACAAAATATCGTTGTTGACTACGTTTGTTCCTTAAAAAATATAAGTGTGATAAATTTATATGTCAAAAGAATATTTAAACAACTATCATTATCCAACTAAATTGTTTTAAATTTGACAGGAAAATAACAGTAAGGCATCAAGCACTCACCAGAATGAAGAAGGAGCAGATGAGGAAGACGCTATAGAGAAACTTGTGTCGAAATGTTCGATCGGATTTGATTTTCTTCTGGAAGTTTTTTATCCTCACACGGAGTAGTAGTTCCGACTGACATTGTACAATGTCGGTATTTTCATCACATTGAATTTTCGCATTAACGTCATTCTGAGACACATGTTGGCTACTGATCCCGTTGACGGTGACGATTGTTTTTGGTGCGACGACATTATTTAGTAAACACGCGAACTCGTCTCGATGATAATGGTTCGTATCCCCTTCGTCTCGTCCACGTTGTTGGCCATTGACGACACATGTCAAACTGTCAAATTCACTGTCGGAACTTCTTAGCATTTCCTGTTTAATAGATAACCACAGCACGCGTCAATTAAATTATGTGTATTATAGTCTGGACACTTTATACGAATGAAATGATATTATATAGAGCTTATCACGTGTAGTCGGTTCAAAGTCGTTGATAAATAATATACACCTAAAACATTCATTCAACTTTTCAAAGGAAGCTAAGCTTAACAACAGAATTACTCTGAATTTAATCTTGTATAAATTTCAAAACTTTAAGAAATTTAAATTATAAATGACATGAATTTAGATGAAGATATGATCGTCCGAAACAAAGCACTGCAAACATATTCGTAAAATTCTCATACATTTCTCAAATATGTAATTTAAAAAAATATGCATTAACGATTCGTTAAGGTAACCATACGTTGAGCAACCGGAGCGTGGGCTCACTTACCGAAAGATTTGTTAACTTATACCGAAAGGTAAATATGCATGAGGAAAAGAGTTAACTGCATGCATGATTTTGATACAATCATTTTAATACAAACATAAAATAATATTATTTTAAAAACCTATGTACTTGGATAGAATTTAGTGTACATAATACAATATAGCTGCAATTATGTTTGCAATCTACTGTATTTATTACCATCTCGTTGGTGAAATCACTTGTGTGTCCTACGTTCATTTAAGAGTTGGATACAGTTAAGCTGAGGGTTATTTGAACAACTGGAATCTATCTTATTTATTCAACGCATAATCAACCCAAACAAACATCCAATAAATTACATCTTTAGGTGACAATTACCCCTCAATTCAAATTTAAATATATATAAGTGGTGGTTCAGGTTTGCACGTTGAAGCCATATACATGAACAATTTCAAAATAAAGATTGTTCTGAAAAGATATTAGAATCAAAACCGACCTCGGGTCATTTAAAGCTGCAGTTGCCGAACAACATTGAATGTTATCCTTGCCAAGGCCTAGATTCGATTTGTGTTAGCTTTCTTGGCTTTTTGACTCATATAGATTTTTTTCCGGAATACAGAAATATTTGTTTGAGCTTTCGATTGAGGATGATTACCTTTAATATGTAACTTACATCCTTATTTTTTTCTTGCATGAAAATAAACAACATCTCATAGAGTTTTATTTGGTCTTAATGTATTATAAATCTTATAATTCATGCTCAGTTAGTGTAAAGATATTTGCATAACACTGGCTTAAGCTGATAACAATGAAATTAATACGTGGATTAGGAACGGTTGTCTATTCATTCTTTGTAACCTGTAAACTTCGGATAAAGGGCAGTGGTACATCAATTAGGTCCAACAACTTATCGTTATGCTATCAGTACCTTCATATTCAAATTTCAACGAAATCAAAATGTATCGTTTATTTCTTACAATTTCGTTCTAAATGCAAAACAATGTTAAAGTATTCATGTTTTATCTGATAATACATCAACAAATATTCAAGGTATGTTTTTGCTAAACATTATGGGTCTCGTTTATGATCTTAGCGTCATTTTAAGGTCATCAGTCATACTAACATTAAGAATAGAACTCAGTGGAATAACATCACTCGTAAATAGGTCATTTTTTGGACTTTACTCTTGTTATCGACTAGTTGATGATTTCTAACGTAAACTTAATGTGCATTCTATTATATATTTTTGACTAATTTGTCTATTTCTATCATTTCTTTTTAAACTTTCGATGAATCAAATTTGTTTCGATCGGTCTTAGAAGAACTTCTGTAGGTATGACGTTATCACGTATTGCCCTATAAAGCCTAGTCCAAGTTTCGAGTGTATATCACGTAGTGCCCTAAAAAGCTAGACCACGTTTCGAGTGTATATCACGTAGTGCCTTATAAAGCTAGTCCTTGTTTCGAGTGTATATCACGTAGTGCTCTATAAAGCTAGTCCTAGTTTCGAGTGCATATCACGTAGTGCCCTATAAAGCTAGTCCTAGCTTCGAGTGTATATCACGTAGTGCCCAATAAAGCTAGTCCTAGTTTCGAGTGCATATCACGTAGTGCCCTATAAAGCTAGACCACGTTTCGAGTGTATATCACGTAGTGCCTTATAAAGCTAGTCCTTGTTTCGAGTGTATATCACGTAGTGCACTATAAAGCTAGTCCAAGTTTCGAGCGTATATCACGTTTGACTCCACATGTGTCTAATGCATATTTACATATAAGTGCTGAATATTGAGATAATGGGTTCTGCTTGTTATGGGTCAGTGTTTCCAGCACCCTCTATTTAGTGTTACTGTAATGCTGCAGTAGGCATACTTTAATTCCCAGTTTAAAACCTATCATACATAAAGCTAGTCCAAGTTTCGAGTGCATATCACGTTTGACTCCACATGTGTGTCATGCATATTTACATATAAGTGCTGAATATTGAGATAATGGGTTCTGCTTGTTATGGGTCAGTGTTTCCAGCACCCTCTATTTAGTGTTACTGTAATGCTGCAGTAGGCATACTTTAATTCCCAGTTTAAAACCTATCATACATAAAGCTAGTCCAAGTTTCGAGTGTATATCCCGTAGTGCCTTATAAAGCTAGTCCTTGTTTCGAGTGTATATCACGTAGTGCTCTATAAAGCTAGTCCTAGTTTCGAGTGTACATCACGTAGTGCCCTATAAAGCTAGTCACAGTTTCGAGTGTATATCACGTAGTGCCCGAGAAAGCTAGTCCTAGTTTCGAGTGTATTTCACGTAATGCCCTATAAAGCTAGTCCTAGTTTATCACGTAGTGCACTATAAAGCTAGTCCAAGTTTCGAGCGTATAGCCCGTAGTGCCCTATAAAGCTAGTCCTTGTTTCGAGTGTATATCACGTAGTGCTCTATAAAGCTAGTCCAAGTTTCGAGTCTACATCAGATAGCGCCCTAGAAAGCTAGAAATAGTTTCGAGTGTATATCACGTAGTGCCCAATAAAGCTAGTCCTAGTTTCGAGTGCATATCACGTAGTGCCCTATAAAGCTAGACCACGTTTCGAGTGTATATCACGTAGTGCTCTATAAAGCTAGTCCAAGTTTCGAGCGTATAGCCCGTAGTGCCCTATAAAGCTAGTCCTCGTTTCGAGTGTATATCACGTAATGCCCTATAAAGCTAGTCCTAGTTTCGAGAGTATATCACGTAGTGCCCTATAAAGTTAGACCACGTTTCGAGTGTATATCACGTAGTGCCCGAGAAAGCTAGTCCTAGTTTCGAGTGTATATCACGTAGTGCCTTATAAAGCCAGTCCTAGTTTCGAGTGTATATCACGTAGTGACCGATAAAGCTAGTCCTAGTTTCGAGTGCATATCACGTAGTGCCCTATAAAGCTAGTTCAAGTTTCGAGTGTATATCACGTAGCGCCCTATAAAGCTAGTCCTAGTTTCGAGAGTATATCGCGTAGTGCCCTATAAAGCTAGTCCTCGTTTCGAGTGTATATCACGTAATGCCCTATAAAGCTAGTCCTAGTTTATCACGTAGTGCCCTATAAAGCTAGACCACGTTTCGAGTGTATATCACGTAGTGCACTATAAAGCTAGTCCAAGTTTCGAGTGTATATCACGTAGTGCCCTATAAAGCTAGTCCAAGTTTCGAGTGTATATCACGTTTGACTCCACATGTGTTTAATGCATATTTACATATAAGTGCTGAATATTGAGATAATGGGTTCTGCTTGTTATGGGTCAGTGTTTCCAGCAGCCTCTATTTAGTGTTACTGTAATGCTGCAGTAGGCATACTTTAATTCCCAGTTTAAAACCTATCATACTTTAGAAGCATAAATCATATTATTGATGGCCGATATATATTTTTTTTTTTCGCACCGGCTTTCAGTTAAGACTTTATTAATGTTTATATGAAGCAGAGTTTTTTTTATTCAATTGTGAATGTTTTTATGGTGCTTGATTTTTTATTCATCTTATTTCAATCATGACAAACTGTGACATTGTGGCAAAACAGGTTATAAAGGAGAAATAAAAAATGCAAAGGCCAACTTAACTAGGGCGTGACAGGTATAGAGTATATTACGGCCTCAATGCGATATGCCCAATATGAAATAAAAATTATGTATATAACGGTATATCAGTCATCTATCTGTTATATAAGGAAAGGAAGACCTTAATATTCATGTTAAATAATATCCAATGCATTTGTATTTATGACAATTTGGTATGGTTTATTTAACTATTTTAATAAATTCAACTCTATGTAACCTTCAATCTCTTAAACTATATCTTCTATTGCTGTGTTAAAAATATCAAAATATGTGCATTTACTTGTCGTCATTAGGTTCTGCGGTGCAAAGATTTTACTAAATTGTATCAGGTAGGTAATAGTCATCTGTGTAAAAAGCACCTTCGTAAAACTCACCTGTACAAGCATCGTTAGTGTCAATCTTACCTGTGCAAAACTTACCTGATAAATGCTCATTTAAAATCTCACCTTTCTGTCGACGTTCTTAGTCGATTTAACATCGGACAGGACAGGCCAGCCAGGGTTTCCACGATCAGTCTATACACAGTCTGTAAAGGACTCCTACTTACACACGTACGTAGTCCGAATCTCAGTAGACCTAGGGTGTATTAAATATTTCATTATATTCATATCATTATGATCTCTTATATAGGTATCTGAATGGCTAGCCAGCTATATACATTAATTGTAAAACAGAAGCATGTGTCAAAGATAGGATCTTTGATTGTGAACAGGTCATTCTGACCTATAGATACCACAGTGCTTTGATAAGGTAGTGTCATTTTTACGTACACATACACACACACACACAAAAGTATGTATAGATAGATAGGTCTAGGCCGATTGTATGTTCGCCTTGTATGTCACTACGAATACGAGCTCGTTTAAGCATTTCCGTAATACATTAAAGATAAACACTGGTGTATATAATAGACTTCATCCACCATGTCTAGTAACAGTCTCTGCTTTTTAGCTAGTTTTATCATTTATATGTATTTAAGGTGGTTAAGCAGTTAAATAGTAGCGACAATTTAATCTTGATAATCTGCTGTTGTCAGATGTATTATTACAAATACTTTAAAGACGTCAATTTGTTTTGATGACACACATTAAAATTGTAAGCAACTATTAGCTCGTCGACGTTTTCTTTATAATTTATTTATATGGCTATATAAATGGGAATAATTCTTTATTCTTCATTAAAACACAACTGCAGGTGAAAATTAATGGAGTGCGGTAAGTCTTTCTTTGACTTGAAAATAAGGCTCTATCTTACATGTAGCGATGCTTTCTTTGATAGAGCATCATGGCTTTTATTCGATATACACTATTCAGATTATCAATATATTTCACATTTATTCATTATTTATCTTTATTTATTACATATGTGAGCATTGCCTTGCTTCCTATAATAAACACGATATAGATCATTTGTAAATTATCAATGCATAACCTTCATTAAGGATCACTGTGTCACTGCACTTTGTGTCGTATACATAGTAACGTTTCCTTAATTTCGTTTTGACTGTAACTGCAGCACAGTTGAGGCATTTTCGTTGACCAGGTAGCTCAGTCGATCAGAGCGATACTATAGCAATCTAAAGTTCAGGGTTCGAGTTCCGGTCTAGCTCCGATGCATTTTTACACTCAGTAGCACTGTTGCTGATTAATTTTGTTTATTTCATCTTTATTATTTTTGCATAAGTTTTTTTTTTTCAGAAATGATTTATCAAAGCTAACGCAAGAAAAAAACAATTTCCAATGAGTAGTTACATTGTTTAGCAGTAGTACGGGATCATAAAGTAACGAAATAGTTGCTCATGAAAAACAATGTCAGAAGTACGTACGCTTTAACATTAGTTACAGTGAAATGAACGTAACGTAACGTAGCGTGATGTCTGAAGTATAAAACGTAACAATTATAGGATGGTTTAATTGCATAGCAATTAAAAACAAAAAGTTTTTTAACCAATACTGACAAATAATCAATAAAATCAAGTCTGAAATTTGACATACCGGATTTTAGCAATCGTACTGCGCATATGCGAATTTCCAAGGACGTCTCTACAATATTTACCAAATATATCAATCAGTTTATACATCTGTTATCCTAGTATAAAAAAAAAGACAGTTATCTTTTTTAAGTAATGGCAGGTAATATATAATATATACACTGATTTGAAATTATTCATTACACATTTAATTTTTGAAACCCATTCTGCTTCAACAGTAGTTTAGCCCAATTTGGACCAGCTTTTGTTCCCAAGCACTGATGAGTCCTACAAGGCCGCGAAACAGCTGTATGGTGCAGCGTAATTAATTCATTATTGTCATATTGTATCTGTTAGTGGTACAAGCATATGTGTATGTCTATATCTATCTTCAAATGTAGCAAAAAAGTTTCACATTTTTACACACCTAAGACAAATGCACGCAGAATTCATGCTATTGGTCCTTTTCGTAGCATATGTTTGATTTTGGCACCGATTTCGAAGGTCTTCTTTTGTGGTGAGAATTAACCAGACCCCCCC